GTCCTCAAGGCCTGGTGGGCCAGGATGTGCTCCACTCTCTCCTCCTCCCCCTTCATCTGCTCCTGTGTGCTCCAATCAGAGATGTCCCTCTCCTGGAGCTGCAGATTCAGTGCTGTCCTTTGAAATAAATTCTTCTGGGGCAGGTGTCCACAGAGTAGTTGGGATTAGGGCCAGCCCCTCCAAATGCTACTTATTATCTAGTATTTCAGTATTTTCCTGGTAGGTCTGTATGTCTTAAATTATCATGGAGTATATTTCCCAACTTCTCCATTTAATTGAATTATTCTAGTGGCAGTAGGAAAGCTATTTGGTGAATTGTCTATGTAATTGGACCTTTTTAAGACACGGTCCTGTAGAGCACCAAGTTCCTATGGTATAATCAGGAATGGAAATTAAGTAGACTTTTTAATGAATGAGTTTGTGAATAAAATTCATTTTAGAAGAGTAGCCACTAATTGAGTAATCCAGTTGGTTGACTAACCCTGAAGGTGTCGTGGATGACAATGGGAAAGAGGAGGCTGGCTGCTCCTGTAAAGATTGACAGTTTCGGAAACCCTTGTAGCCTTGATCCACATTAGATTTAGATTCATCAACCTAATAGCAGCGCTGGGTTTATTCGGTTTAATGCGCATAGTAGACAGGGTCTTTCGCAGGAGAAACCTAGTTTGTGTCTGTCTCCACACATTTTTCTTGTTTGATCTGGCTGTCAATACAAGCTGAGGGTCACCCCAGTCTGTGTTGGCACCCCGGGTGGCATAATGGATTCTGAGTTGGGCTGCTGACACAAGGCCAGCCTGTTGAGTCTCCCAGCCTCTGGGAACCACAGTGAGCAGTTGTACCCTGTCCTGCAGGGTCACTGAGTTGGAATTCACTGCATGGCCTTGCAACTCCTTGTATTCTGTATGATAACACTGACATTGCCTGTTTTTACTAATTAGATAAGGCTATTTACCAGGCCTGGAGAATGTCCCTTTTATTTAGTTTGTGAATCATTAGTAAATATACTAAATAAATCTCCATTTTGTTTATAGGCACACACAGTTCTCACAGGCATCTATCTGATGTAGTGCAGCGTTATTTTCTACAGTATTCTTTTTTCCCCCATTCACAATGTTCTTAATGCCTCAGTAAATATTTCAAACTTTATATTTAAATAGCTTTCATTTCTTGATACTTACTGACAGTTAATTGAGGTTTCCTTGTTTTCCCCTTCAATTTGACATACATAAGAGGTGGTGACCTCTACCAAAGGATAAGTAATCCTTTGCCCATCCAATGCTCTAAAATGCTGTTTGTCTATTACTGGTCTGGTTGTCACTTTTGGTTGCTGTTAGTATTTGCTGTGCATTGGCAGGGAGCTTCTAGAGGTCCTGGCGGGATTCAGAAGAGGATGTGGAGTGGGGTGTCATTGCTGATGGCAGGTCGATGCTGGCTGAAGGCAGAGCATATGAGAAAGATGTTTACTTGTGTTTTAGTGGCTGAAACTTGAATAATACCTTTCCTACCCAAGAGGGGAAGAAATAGCTCCATATGTTGGAGGATTTGCAGCTGTCCTTCATGGAGATCACCAGTGTGTCAGTTGGGTCCTCCGCAACACCAGACACAGCGAGATAGGAAAAGTACAGGAGATTATTTAGCGGGGGTAAGAAATAGGAACCACAAAAGGAATGCAAGCAGGATCAGAGACCCCTTCAACTTGGAGACCTGAACTCCCCAACAAGAAGAGCTCCAAAGCAAAGCTGACCCCATATCGGAGCCCTGAGGCTGGGAGGTGACAAGGGCTGGGGCTGTCAGTGGATGGCACTCCTTGCAGCCCAGTGGAGGATGTTTTTTCTTGAAGGGGGAAATAAATGTGGAGATTAAAATCACTTCTATTTTCTGCCTCCAGTTCTTGAGATTGAGATAGGTGTCACATGTTTCCTTTTCAAAAAAAGAAAAACATTTTATCAGTACATAATCCACATATAGAATCCAATAGTTCAGTCATACCGTTGTACAGTCATTACCACAATCAGTTTTTTAGAACATTTTCTTTCTTGTGCTTATTGTTACTAGCCCCCTATTTCCCCCCATCCTTCTCTGCCACATTCCTGAGAAGCCATTCATCCAGTCACTGGCTCTATAGATTTAACTATCTGATGTAACATGTTATGAGGATTGGTCAGTAAGAACTTGACATAAAACTTAATTGACTAATATATGCTAAGTGTTTTTTCTGCCAAGTCTTAGAGTTTATTCATGCTTTACTGCAATACAGTTTAACTCCATGTCTTGATTTCTTGGCAATGAAATTGTTCATTTCAGTAATTTATCTGAATATAGAATTTGAGTTAGATTCCAATGTTGAACAGCAATACCATATTTCACACCTTGATTCAGTGGTTCTCAACCTTCCTAATGCCGCAACACTTTAATACAGTTCCTCATGTTGTGGTGACCCCCAAACCATAAAATTATTTTTGTTGCTACTTCATAACTAATTGTGCTACTGTTCGGGCAACCCCTGTGAAAGGGTCGTTCAACCCCCAAAGGGGTTGCGACCCACCGGTTGAGAACGCTGCCTTTATGAGAAGCAACTACTTTAGGTGCCTCTGAAAAGAATGCTGTTGATTCTAATTTTAAGAAGCCATCAAGTAAAAGGCTTATCACAATTTTAGAGATAAGAAGTAAAAACTTATGTCTAATTGAGAGGAGCCCGTGGCCTCAAGGAATTGGTTGATTGGTGGTGGGAAGTTGCCATTCTATCTTTTACTAGTTTTTACTAGTTTTCTACGGTGTTTTCTCCCTGGGTATTTTAATTACTAGGGATATTTTTCCCCCTCACTAGCCTTACTTAGCATAATTCTAGATGCTTTTATGTAAATCATAAGAGGATTTTGTGCTCTAAATCATTTTATTGGGGGCTCATACAGCTCATCACAATCCATACATACATCAATTGTATAAAGCACATTTGTACATTCATTGCCCTCATCATTCTCAACATTTGCTCTCCACTTAAGCCCTTGGTATCAACTCCTCATTTCTCCCCTCCCCTCTCCCCCTCCCTCTTTGAACCCTTGATAATTTATAATTATTTTGTCGTATCTTACTGTCTGATGTCTCCCTTCACCCACTTTTCTGTTGTCCATCCCCCAGGGAGAAGGTTATATGTAGATCCCTATAATCAGTTTCCCCTCGCTACCCCACTCGCCCTCTACCCTCGTGGTATCACCACTCTCACCACTGGTCCTGAAGGGATCATCTGTCCTGGATTCCCTGTGTTTCCAGTTTCCATCTTTACCAGTGTACATCCTCTGGTCCAACCAGATTTGTAAAGTAGAGTTGGGATCATGGTTAGTGGGTGGGGAGGAAGCTGTGAGTTGCAATCACCTTGGAGACAGTGAGTTTTTCTACTGTTTAAACAATGCTGGCAGGAATGGGAGGAAAGTGGAACCTTAAAGCATTGCAGCTTTTTTATTTGGTCTGAGTATTAAAAAGTATAACAGCCTTTTGACTCCGCAGTCCAAGGACAGGAAAGCTATCCCTGAAGATACCTGTGTGACAAGCAGCCAGTCTACAGAAACTTCATATTTTTCTTGCAATTTAATCACTGATTATTAGAATCTTCTGAGTAGTGGTAAGTATTTAATCTTTGTACCATCTCTTTTCAGAATTCTCTTGATAGAGCCCAAGCCGCCAAGAACAGAGGCAATAAATACTTTAAAGTGGGAAAATACGAACAAGCTATCCAGTGCTATACTGAGGCTATCAGTTTGTGCCCTACAGAGAACAGCGTTGACCTTGCCACATTTTATCAGAACAGAGCTGCTGCCTTTGAACAGCTGGTATGCATCTTGGCTTGGCTTATTCTGTTCCTTTCATTTCTGTTTATTTGCTTGAAGTTTCAGTTACAAGAACAAATTTTAATTTTGCTCACAACAAATACAATGCAAAGTTAAATTTTTCCTACTTTATAGAATTAGAAAAATCCCCTTGCCCCCCAATTTTTTTCTGTTGACTACATGCTCAAACATTTGAGGTTTTAGACAAGCGGTTCTCAACCTGTCGGTCACAACCCTTTCACAGGGATCGCCTAGTTCATAACAGTAGCAAAATTATAGTGATGAAGTAGCAACAAAAATAATGTTATGCTTGGGGGGGGGCGGTCACCATAACATGAGGAACTGTATTAAAGGGTCACGGCATTAGGAAGGTTGAGAACACTGGTCTAGACTAAGAGTGATTTTTGGAGCCATTTAATTTTAGATGTTTATAAATGATAGTGATATGGTGGCCTAGGGAGAGATGAAACCTTTAGATAAATTTGGCAAAGGTGATTAAGAAGTTTGACGTTTGGCAATAAATAGGAACTTAGAAATGGGGCAGTAACTGTAGTTCTGTTTTTGTTTTTTTTTTTTAGTAGGCTTTTTTAAAGATGGGGAAAATTGAATAGAGAAGTACATTGATGCTGAGAAGGGAACATTGAAAACAAAGCTGGTCAAGTGGACTCAAGTTACAGGGGTGGGGTCATTTTTGATGAAGGCTGCTTCCTGAGTCCTGGCAGGAGGCTAGACAGAGGTGATGGAAGCATACAGATCGAGATGAGTTTGTACACGATTTGGCGGTAAAAAAGATGGCCTGGTATACATCTGTTGACTATTTTTCAAAATTAGGTTGCTGTTATAACCGTTTGGGTGAACTTTGGTTAGATATTGACTACACGCTAAAAAAAATTTTTTTTCCTGTTATGGCTCTTAATTATCAGCTTGCTTGTCAGGTTTGGAAACATGCTCTCTGTTAACAGTGCTTCTGTAAGTTATGACTTCCTTTTTTAATACTTCAATTACAGCAAAAATGGAAAGAGGTGGCAGAAGATTGTACAAAAGCTGTTGGACTTAATCCCAAATATGTGAAAGCTCTCTTCAGACGTGCAAAAGCCCATGAGAAACTAGACAATAAGAAGGAATGTTTAGAAGGTGAGGGTACATCTGTGTGTACATGTCAAAACTGTTGTCACATTTAAATGAAGATTTATTTGTTTTGTGAATAATCAATGGCATTTAAATGTTGGGCTCTCTTCAACTGAAACTTTGTTTCCCTACTGAAATTGAGGTTACTTTCTCAACAACTAGAATTAGTTTTAAATATTTGGACTTTATACAATAGGACTTCAAAAGATTTGTGGGGAAAATGTAATTGGAGATATGTACCACATCTTTTAAACTTGGGCATTTAATGAGTATTAGTATGATCCCATGAGTAAGGAAATCCAAAAGGTGTTTTATAAAGTGATTTTGCTTCTTAGATTCTACATTATTTTCAGTTAATAATGCTGTATACATATGAAGTTTTAAGATGAATCATTAAGGAAAAAACATTTATTTTTTTGCTCCTGGCACTTGCAAATATTATTTTATACCCAATTAGAAAAAATGAATTTATTATTAGTGGATATTCTGCAGTCTGAGTGCTCATGACTGCTGTAAAAACTGCAATTCGTGTATATGCAAATAACATTATTCTGAGTAATATGGGACTAAACCAGAATGTGATTTCTATCATTTAAAAGTAATTTCAGTATGAACGGGTACAGATAAGAGCCGGAAACACAGGGAATTCAGAGTAGATAGACCTCTCGGGAACACTATTGAGAGTAGCCATAACAGGATGTTAAGGGGAAGGTGGAGGGAAATAGGGGGAACTAATCACAATGATCTATCTATAACCCCCTCCAGGGGGATGGACAATAGAAAAGTGGGTAAATGGAGACACTGGTAAGTGGAAGACATGAAAAAATGATCATTTAAAATTTTATTAAGGGTTCATGAGGGAGGGGAAACGGAGCTGATACCAAGGGCCCAAGTAGAAAGAAACTGTCTTGAAAATGATGATGGCAACAGATGTACAAATGTGCTTGACACAATGGATGGATTGTCATAAGAGTTGTACGTGCCCCCAGTAAAAGGATTTAAAAAGAAAATAGATGCAAAATGACAAAAAAGGTGATTTCCGTTAATTAACAGCATCAATTTACATAAGATCACCAGAATTACTGGTGTTAAAATTTACTTTTGTCATTAAGGAAAGGTTCATTTTGAAAAGATTTGATTTGCCAAAACAGTATGATTTAAAGAGTTTGGGAAACTGGGTTGTGTTGGGTCTCAAGATCAGCAATTCAAATCTACCAGCCACTCCATGGGAAAAAGATGGAGGTTTTCAGTTCCTGTAAAGATAAATAGCCTTAAGTTTAGTTTTATTTTTGAAAAACCGCACTTAAATGTGGTGTCACCATTTCAGTAGTAGGTAAAAGGAGTTATTTGGGAAAAGGAATCCTAAGTTTTGAGCCAAGTATTGAGATGAAAGGGGCACACTGTTGACTCAGCCTGCAGGAGCAGTACTGAGAATCAAGGTAGTGGATAGTCCTACAGGGCTGGCTTTCAGTCGCACTCGCTCTGCCTATTGAGTGCTGCTAGTCATCCATACAGTAATTTCAAACTGGTGTTTTCCCACCACTTCTAGATGTGACTGCAGTCTGTATATTAGAAGGGTTCCAAAACCAACAAAGCATGCTGCTGGCTGACAAAGTTCTGAAACTTCTTGGTAAAGAGAAAGCCAAAGAGAAATACAAGGTAAAGTCCAAGTTGGTTAATGGGTTATTTCTAAATTAGGTTGTATAAATTTGGCCATCTTGGTGATAGTAAAAACTGGAATTAGAACTATATTATTAGAGCCAGATTGTTACTGTCTTTTTTCTCACTCTCTGCTTTTGTGGCTTACCTTTCACTCAAGTAGGATAGGCAGTGCTTTCTCTGGAGAACATGGAAAGAATCCATTGATAATCCAGGGAATCAAACTATTGTCCAGAAATCAAATCCATCTGTTGGCCTGTTGTTATGAATGATTTTGTTGTAACAGCCACAGAGTAGTCTCCACCAGACCATGTGGCCTTCAAAACCTAAAATCTTTACAATCTGATCCCCTGGAAAGAAATGTATTGACCTCCGTTCTATACAATTAATGTCTTGGGGTTTTAAAATATCATTTTAATTCATTTGGTGAATGGTATGCATTTTAGGGGAATGGATACAAAGATAGGGGCCTTGCCCTTATAGAATTTGAATTTAGTGAAACCATTAGCATCTATAAAAGGTATACAATGATGAAATGTTCAAGGAGAGGTCAGCAGAGTATCATGGGAACACTGTAGGCATCACTGAGCATCTGTGGAAGGGGCCCTGGTGGTGTGGCATTGAAGCAGCTAGCTCACGTAGGCCCACTAACAGCAGATATTACAAGGGATTTCTGCTCAATTTCAGCAATGTTGAAGCAGTCATTTTTTCCTTGATCAATAGCTTGCTTTTCTGTTAATTTCATTCTAGTGGGTGGAGTGTCTTGATTTTATACCTGTAAATATAAGCTGAGTTAAATAGGTTTCTGAACTTGCAGGCCTTCTGTACAAAGGCAGCTGGCTTTTAATGAAGCACTAACAGAGTTGCAGTAGTAGTAATCATTTCTTTTATGGAACTGTTTCCCCCATGAACAGCTCACACACCTTGTGAAATCTAGTGTGAATATTGTAAAAGGGATCTTCAAGGAGCCCCTAGTATTTTGAGGATTTATATGCTTTGGGTGTTGTAAATGGTTAACATGCTGGCTGCTAACTGAAAGACGAGATTTGAGCCCACACAGACATACCTGAAAAAAGATGTCTACTTCTAAAAAATCTGCTCTGGGGCACACAGTTCTGTACTGACACAGAACTGACTCTTGCTTTCTGTCACTTTGTGCTACGATGATAAGAATTATTGGTATCTTGTGGTTTGGGCAAGAAGAACTCAAACTCGTTGCCTTGTAGGACAGAACATCCGCTTCCAAGGTGCTGAAACCTTAGGGGGGCAGAAACCTCATTTGTTCACAGAGAAGTCGACGGTTAGCAGCCCAAAGTGTAACCCACCTGGCAAGGAGAAAGAGGTCTCACTCGAAAACCTGATTGGTCTGACGGTTTCTCTGTTCAGCTGTCTCTTGTCCTATGGCTTAGAGCAGGTGTCCTCAAACTACGGCCCGCGGGCCACAGGTGGCCCACCGAGGACATTTATCCAGCCTGCCAGGTGTTTTTGCCTTGCTTGTTTTTTTATTTCAAAATAAGATATATGCAGTGTGCATATATATATTTTTTTAATTATAGTCCGGACCTCCAACAGGTCTGAGGGACAGTGAACTGGCCCCCTGTTTAAAAAGTTTGAGGACCCCTGGCTTAGAGCATAATATTCTTCAGTTCCTTGAATGAGATTTCAGTTTTTAGTTATTCTGAGTGTTTTACAAATGTATCACTTATTAGTGGTTAATCACTTTGATTTTCCTAAACGTGATTACGTTTCAGAACCGCGAACCTCTGATGCCATCTCCACAGTTCATCAAATCGTACTTCAGTTCTTTCACGGACGATATCATTTCTCAACCGATGCTTAAAGGGGAGAAGTCGGATGAAGATAAAGACAAAGAAGGGGAGGCTTTAGAAGTGAAAGAGAAGTAAGTGTATCACACATGGTAAGGCCCCATGTACTAACCAAAAGGTGGTCGGTTCAAACCCAGCCAGTAATTCGGCAGGAAAAAGACCTGCTGACCTCGAGTTCCTGTGAATGGGTTGGACTTGAATGCACCCAACAGCAATTCTCTCTTTACAAGGAGGCTTCAAAAAGATTGTAGAAAAAATAGAATTAAAAATAACTCAAAAAAACAACAACAAAAAAACTCATTTTTCCATGAACTTTTAAATCTTTCCTCTTGTTAATAAAAATATTTGCAGCTTATGTCTGTTACAATTAAATCTCCAGTGACTCAAGGTTTTACTGCCAAATCTTTCCTTACAGCTTTACATGATATGTTTAGCCTTACATGATATTTTAAAGAAGACTTCCAATTGCATAAGTGACATTACATTTAAATGTATGTAGCTCAACAGCGAAATGCTTTGGGTATTTTGATATATAAATTGCGAGATTTTTAGGCATGCACAAAAGAACAAATTTCTTTGAGCTTTTTTCTGTTTAGCTAGGAAAATGATACTCTTTGGGCTTCTTGTTTGCTCCTATAGAGAAATAAAACCACAAGTACAGGTCCTACGTTTACAACTGGAGCTCAAGTGTTAGAATGTAGTATATAAACCATCCGGCCTCCTTGTCTATTTTTATTTAGCAATACTTATGGTGGTTGGTAAACTAGCTCTCTTTAAAAGAAGACAGTATTCCTGTAGCACACGAGGACCGGGTTTTGCATTCATAACCATATGGGGGATTGGGACAAATGGATTGCCTCGATTCCTATATGCGTAATTGTTGGACTGTGCATTGTGCTAAAATGCTACAAATGTCGTCAATGGATACATAATCTTTTGGAACACTGTATTAGGAAGTACGCTGGTGGTACTAAGTTACTCTCTTGGGTTGAGAACATAGTCTCAAAAAAAACCCCAGAAAACCAACCAACATAGTCTCTGTCCCAGGAAAATTACAATGAAGTCAATACCATTCTGAAAGGGGGAGTGATCATGAGCCAAAATTGGCTCTAAGGGAACTAACCCAGAGGTGGCAAAACATGCATAAATACTTGGAAGGCACAAGGATGGAAGCTTTCATGGCTATTCCCATCAGAATTGGACTTCGTGCTTCAGATTCATCAGCTTGAAAATAGGAGCAGTAATAACACCTTACAGGATCCTGTAAGAAAGGGCCCAGTCAGTACTAAATACTCAAGGAGTCCTGGTGGCATAAGGGTTTACAGTATAGATCTGGCAGCTAATTATAGGTTAACAGTGGTTTCCCCGTTTCTCCAAAGGAGATGCCTTGGCCACTGGAGATCCCCTTGCAGAGGGGTCTAGGGGAGGAGATGAGCCAGTCACCGCGTGATGTAACAATGATGAGAAATACAACTTTCCTCTAGCTCCTAAATGTTTCCTCCCCGCTCCCACTACCATGACTCAAATTCGATCTTGCAAGTCTGGCTAGACCAGAGGAGGTCCACTGGTACAGATAGGAACTGAAAATACAGGGAATCCAGGACGGATGAGCCCAATAGGACCAGTGGTGTGAGTGGCAAAACAGGGAGGGTAAAGGGAGAATGGGTAGGAAAGAGGGAACCGATTACATGGAACTGTGTGTGACCTCCTCCCTGGGGGACAGACAATCGAAAAGTGGGTGAAGGGAGACGTCGGACAGGGCAAGATATGACAAAATACCCATTTATAAACTTTCAAGGGCTCATGTGGGAGGGGGGAGCGGGGATGGAGGGGAAAAATGACCTAATGTCGGGGGTTTAAGTGGAGAGAAAATGTTTTGAGAAACGATGTACAAATGCGCTTTACACAATTGATGTGTGTATGGATTGGGATAACAGTTGTATGAGCCCCCAATAAAACGTAATACATAAATTAATTAATTAATTTTTTAAAAAGGAGATGCCTTGGGGCTTTGGGTACCTGTGAAACTTACCACCTTGGGAAACTACAGGGCAACTACAGTGAACCCTCGTTTATCGTGGTTAATCGGTTCTAGACCCTACCGTGATAAATGAAATTCCGCGAAATAGGATTCCTTATTTTTAAATCAAATATTTTCGCAGTTAGAGCATAGAGGACATGAAAAAACACCCTTTAGTCACCATTACACTCGTATTACCCAATTTATTAAACGAAAAAGGGAAAATACAGTAAAACATTTTGGACGTCACAATTATCATTTATTTATTATATTATTTATGGCATCAAGCGTGTACAGTATGAGCCAATCAGTGGCAGTAATGACAGCATGCGCTGTTACGCAAAAACCGCGATAGAGTGAAGCCGTGGAAGTCGAAGCGCTAAGTGGCGAGGGTTCACTGTACTGTATTATGTGTCACTATGAGTTGGAATCATCTCAATGGCACTGAATTACTTAATGCTCTCAGTACTTAGAAACTATTGTTCCAATCTGATAATTGATTTTATTTTCCTAACTTGGGGAATCTGGGGAATATTGGAATGTAATTACAGGAAAGGCTGATGCAGAGTTACATGCCAGGCTTATTTTCTACTCAGTTCAACAACTAAAGTGAGGAAGTGAACTTTAAATTATGGTGATGTACATTTGGAAGACCCCTTAAAGGCCATCCGGTTTAAATTCCTCCAGTGTAAATATTTTTACATATTTATATATCTATACCTTCTATAAATAAATATCCCAGTAAAAGTGACCAATAGAATGAAACACTGCCTGCTTGATAAACGAGTCTTCCTTTAAATGTGTTTCTTTGATCTGTTCACCTGTTAATCGTAGGTCTTTTAGGTGAAATTGTCGTTATTGACTATAGTTTCCCCCATTAAGGCATCAAGACCATTTCTGTCTGCATCAAAAATCCATATCTGTCCCCCAGACTCCACTTCTACACTGGCTGACCAGTTTTTAAGGAAAGTGGGCAATTGCTTGCCTCTAGTGGACACTGTGTACCAGTTTTAGAATTGGATCTTCTGAGTGAACAGTTTTGTATGCTTGTTTTCACTTTTAGCTCTGGATATTTAAAGGCCAAACAGTATATGGAAGAAGAAAATTATGATAAAATCATAAGTGAATGCTCAAAAGAAATAGATACTCAAGGAAAATACATGGCAGAAGCATTGCTACTCCGAGCCACCTTCTACCTGCTGATTGGCAACGCCAATGCCGCCAAGCCAGATTTAGATGAAGTCATCAGTTTGAAGGAAGCGAATGTAAAGGTACATTTAAATGTGTAACTTGAATATATATAATCGAGTTAGTAAAAATTAGTATATTGAAATGTTTTTGTTGTGTTTTCCAACATTTACCAGAATTGCCATTGTCAATTACCAAAAAGCTGTACAGGGAGAGTGAAACATAAATAGCAATGATCTTTATCTCTAGGTAAGGAAGGACGCCCTCTACCCCTAGCATCTGGTAACATCACCATCCTTCCTAGCCTCTACATCAGCGGTTCTCAACCTGTGGGTCACAGCCCCTTTGAGGATCGAAGCGACCCTTTCACCAGGGTTGCCCGATTCATAGCAGTAGCAAAATTAGTTTGAAGTAGCAACGAAAATAATTTTATGGTTGGGGGGGTTCACCACAACATGAGGAACTGCTGTATTAAAGTCACACCATTAAGAAGGTTGAGAACCACCGCTCTACATGTTGTGGTTAGTTTGGAACGCTGGACTCCGAGGATAATGGTAATGCGGTATTTGGGTAGTGCTCAAAGTAACCTGAAATAAGTGGTAGCAAAGATTTTAATAAGAATTGACTGTACTCTGGTTTTATATTACCCCAAGGGGGAAAAAGCCCAAGTCTAAAAATAGGCTAGAAATACATTGGTATAGGTAAACCAAATGACTTTACAGTTGTGGTTTGAACAGGTTTGCATTTTGCAGGTTTTCTCAATGTAGATGCAATCACTTCTGTTCTGGAGACTTAGGTCTGTTGAATGTGAGCTTAACCACCACCTATTATTAAAGGGGGCTTTAAAAGTTTGGAAAGCTCTCATTTTAAAAGCCCCCCTTGTATTAGTAACTTATTAACATTTCTGTGACCCATTTCCTTGTCCTTTCATCTCAAAACAAATTATATATTTTGGATATAACAGTTGTCTTCAAGGCACACATAATTGTTAACTTTTCCAGACTTGTAAACAAAAGTAGATTTAGTTAGTTCGGTTTATTTCAAAATAAGATTACTTAGTAATACTTGATTTTTACTGCTGATCTTCCTAATGGTTATAAATATTGTGCTCTTTCTATGTTTTTGTAGGAGAACATAATAGTGCTTTTGGACAGGCTTTTAGAGACAGCATATTTCTTACTGCATCCTCATGAGTTTTTTATTCCATCTTTCAAAAACCACTTTAATGTATAAATTAATAAGTATAATTTTACTTATGAGATTCAGTTGTGTAAAAAAATAGATTAATGTGCCATAGCCAATAATGAAATCATTACAAATGATTATACTTTAACAAGTCATTTCATAAAATTAGTTCTAAATTAATGAGAGGAATAGTATTGAAATATACTGTAGTGATTATCAGGCCAACTTTACCCATTTTTATAAATACTCTTACACAAGTAACATGCTTTAAGAAAGCGGTGGTTTTTTGTTTTTTGGGTTTTTTTCAATGGCAGGTAGTGAGGTGACTCTCGCCATGTACAAAACTAACTGACGATGTACTGGAGGACCTAGTCATGACGTAAAGTGGTAAGACTGACAAAGCATTGCAGGAGACTTTCATGCCTTGGCTTAGACAGTGGCTCCTCAACATGAAATTAAAAGGCATGTATTTTTAAGGGCAAATTTAATGGCAAAATTTAAAATATTGCTTCAAAGGATACCAAAAGGAGAGAAAAACCACCTACAGGAGGGCAGAGACATAGCCCCAAACTGTATCAGCAAGAATATATAAAAAGCCTATGACAACTCAACAATAAAAAGACAACCCGATTAAAACATAAGCAAAGATGCTGATAGGTTTTTCTGCAAATAAAACGAGCACATTGGCAGCAGGAACGTGCAAAGATCTTCAATATATCAAGGGTCGGTGAGGGTGCGGTGAGATTGTCATCCATTGCTGCTGAGGATGTAAAATGGTGAAGCCCCTTGAAAACCAGATTGATTTAATACATTGAGTTAGCACAACTCAAGAATTTCATCTAGGTGTGTGTGCTAGGGAACTTCACAAGGATTGTGGAAAAACTCATGGTTCAGCTCCATTTTTCCACAGACTTCTTTTGAAGCCCCCTCTTACACCTAAGAGAATTCAGTATCTACAAGTGGGTTTCAAAAATGTGGAAAATGATTAAATGATCATGATTTTCTCCCCCATAAACTCCTTGAAGCCCACTCAGATATAGCAACACAAAGATGTGTATGAGATTAATTGTTCATTGACAGTATAGTAGAGGAGATTGGAGAGATGGGGAGCTAATCACAATGAGTACAAGGAAGAAAACACCCTAAAATTGAACATGGTGATGGTTGTACAACTCTAAGACCACTGAATTATTCAATGATTTTGTGAATATGACAACCTGCTAAATTAAAAAAAAATGTGTTCATAACAAACAGTAAAAGTACCCCAGATGTCAACATCATTTGATAAATGGCAAAATAAAATCTATATAGTGAAGCATTATTTGGTTAAAAGAAATGGAGTTCCAATACATGTTTTTTTCTTTCTTTCTTTATCATTTTATTAGGGGCTCATACAACTCTTTTTTTTTCTCCAGTTTCTTTTTTCTAAAAATTTATTTATTTATTTATTTATTTATTAAACCTTTTATTAGGGGCTCATACAACTGTTATCCCAATCCATACACACATCAATTGTGTAAAGCGTATTTGTACATCATTTCTCAAAACATTTTCTCTCCATTTAAACCCCCGACATTAGGTCCTCATTTTTCCCCTCCCTCCCCGCTCCCCCCTCCCCCATGAGCCCTTGATAGTTTATAAATTGGTATTTTGTCATATCTTGCCCTGTCCAACGTCTCCCTTCATCCACTTTTCGGTTGTCTGTCCCCCAGGGAGGAGGTCACACACAGTTCCATGTAATCGGTTCCCTCTTTCCTACCCATTCTCCCTTTACCCTAACAACTCTTATCATAATCCATACATACATCAATTGTGTAAAGCACATTTGTACATTCATTGCCCTCATCATTCTCAAAACATTTGCTCTCCACTTAAGCCCCCGGCATTAGGTCCTCATTTTTCCCCTCCCTCCCCACTCCCCCCTCCCTCATGAGCCCTTGATAGTTTATAAATTGTCATTTTGTCATATCCCAATACATGTTTACCTCATGGCTGAACCTCATGTCCTACTTACTTGGAAACCAGACCCAAAGTTCACTGCTGTGTGACTCCATGTGTGTCAGCGGCAAGGGCACCAAGAGGCAGAAAGTAGGGCTGTTTCCAGGGGCTGGCAGGGAGGAAGGGCTTGCAAAGGGGACTGCTGACGTCTGGGATTCCTTCTTGGCGTAAAGAAGGTATTCTGGGATTAGATTTTTTTTAAATTTTAAATTAGATTATTTTTTTAAATGAATAGAAAGAAATAAAACTTTCATATGTCTAAGAGGCTCTGGTAGCCTAGTGGTTATGTGTTAGGCTGCTGACAGCAAGGGCACCAGTTGGAAACCACCAGGACTCCTCAGAACATCAGAGGGATAGTCCTCCCGTGCCCTCTGTAGGCCACTGAGTCCGAATCCACCTTGAGTGTGAGTTGTGTTGGTTGGCTTGGCACAGAATTCATAAATCATACACCTGAGAATAGAGCGTCTGTTTAAGAAAAGGAAAGACTTAGTCGGTGACGGTCTCTCCCCGTTCTGGTTCGGCAGCTCCGGGCAAACGCGCTCATCAAGAGAGGCAGCATGTACATGCAGCAGCAGGAGCCCCTGCTCTCTACTCAGGATTTCAACCTGGCCGCCGACATCGACCCTCAGAATGCCGACGTTTACCATCACCGAGGGCAGGTCAGTCTGCTTTTCATCCCTACAGGCTTGACGAAGGAAGGCTTAACTGTTGGTTTCTTAGATGTTTATTCCTACCATTGAGCATTTTATACTGTTAGAACTAATAGGATGATTTGTATGGGCTACTTGTATTAAACAAAACTATCCAAATAGTATCTACCTCCCTCTGAGAGGAAAAAAAAATCTAATTTTAGCCATATCCTGGGAACCTGATTTTATAACTCACTTAATTGTTGGCTTTGAAATGCCTATAGTGGAAGATATGGCCACCTAACAGAAAAGCTGAAGTTATTCTTCTTTAAAGGAAAAATTTTCCTAGTACGTGAAGGGGCATACAAATTTCTAGAAAAAGTCCATTATCGTGTTAAGATGTATTGACTTGATCTACTAAAATTCTGATATTTTGAATCCTTAGTGGTGTTGCCTTAAGATAAGTATCTCTAATTAGCTTAGAAATTGGGAAATATGGATGTTTAGGCTTTTTAAAAGAAATTTCCTCTTAGTAGTGATAAAAATTGCAGTGTAGAGACATCATAGCTTGATAATTGGGTTAAAAGGTACAGGATAGTCTATTTCAGGGTTTCTACTAGAGTTAATTATGCACTGAAGAATTGGAGCACGCATGGAAAAGATGGCAAGGAGCCGTGGGCGTGCTGAGAGCTAAGCTTTGGGCAGCTGGCCCGAGTCAGCATGCCAAACCCACCATGTGCAGTCATGGGAGCCTGAGGAGCAGTTGCACACTGCCTTGTGGGGTCAGCTCTGGCAATGGGCTTGGGGTGCTTTACTTTTGGTTTGGGCAATATGTTTAGCTGTGCCAATATGTTTAGCACAGGATTCCTTACTACCTGGTACACCTGTTATCTTGAATGATTTCATTTTTTATCTTAGCTGAAAATACTTCTTGATCAAGTTGAAGAAGCTGTTGCAGATTTTGATGAATGCATTAGATTAAGACCTGAGTCTGCTCTGGCACAAGCTCAGAAATGCTTTGCATTGGTAAGTGCCACTTCTCTGCTTTTTAAATATCATTATTATTTCTCCATGTTAACAGAAATAAACATCTCATTGCGAAGTTATCTCATCCCCTTTATTTACTGGGGTGATATAGATTTGAAAGTGTGCAGGTTGAAGAGCAAAGTAAGGATGTTGGTTGAGATGCAGCTCCTTTTTCCTCAGGGTGCGTAATTGAATTAATCCGAAATAATATTGGTCCTTAATTTTTACCCTGCCCTCACCAGCACAGATCTGCATCTCTACCAGAAATCGATGGGTAAACAAGCTTTGAGGATACTCTGCAGTTAAGCCCACTCAGCTCTCATTTCTTGTGCCACTTCTAAGAAAATGTTTCAAAAACAGAGTTAACAAGATAAAAGCAAGTCCATTTTTAATGAAATTAGGTAGTTCTGGTTAGTCTCATAGCTGTAAATCCTAAAAGAATTTACTTTTATGTGTGGCTATCATAGCATAAGACTCACACAAGCGACCATTAAGTGAGGTGTCAGCTAAGTCCACACGGAAGAAACACACACACACCAACCTGTGTGGTTCAAGGTTGTAAATAAAAATCTACGATACAAGGAGGGAATGGGATTAGAGCGCAAATTCTGAGCACCTAGTGTTGCAGATGAGAGATTAATTTCAGGCGAAAACCTGAAACCTGTTAGCAGGGTTCTCATGTAGATTAAGCCTCTGGTGATTCTCCTGGCCATAGACCAGGGATGTAAATAGCCATGTTATCAGATGCACTGGAAAGTGGATTTTTGCAGACATAGCTAGGTTAAAAAAATTTTTTATTTCTTTTTTTTTTTTAAGTTTATCAGTTTTTTGGAGGGCTCTTACTAATCAATCCTATGACAATCCATCATTTAGTTGTATTAAGCACACTTGTACGTATGTTGCCATCAACATTTTCTTTCCACTTGAACCCTTGGTATCAGCTCCTTTTTCCCTTGATCAAGTTATATATATATTTTTTTCTTTTTTAAAAATCATTTTATTGGGGGCTCATACAACTCTTACCACAATCAATACATCCATCCATTGTGTCAAGCACATTTGTAAATTTGTTGCCATCATTATTCTCAAAACATTTGCTTTCTGCTTGAGCCCTTGGTTATTAGCTCCTCATTTTTCCGCCTCCCTCCTTACGAACCCCTCCTTCATGAACCCTTGATGATTTATAACTTATTATTTTGTCATATCTTACACTGCCTAACGTCTCCCTTCACCCACTTTTCTGTTGTCCATCCCCTCAGCGAGGAGGTTACATGTAGATCCTTGTAATAGGTTCCCCAATTTATATATTGTGGGGGGTTTTAAATCATTTTTTTAGGGGGCTCATACAACTCATCACAATCCATACATACATCA